TTTGAAAGACTCTTTTTAACTTTCCCTCTATATTAATTTCCAAACTTAAGCTGAAACTTCGTTTGCAACATTAAACCACAGTATTTTATAAAAGAAGACTTCCATCATAAGTCATCTATTTTATGAAGCAGTATAGAGATTGTTTGTTGAATAATCACCTTGTATTAATGTTTATTTCTCAGATCAAATTATATCCAAAAGTGCATCCTGAAAAATTCGTTTACAATAGACTGTGTTACTTTCAGATTTTGCAGTGCGTCAGGAAATAATATTTTGAATCTATATTTTAATCAAAAGTTGCCATTCTTAATATTATATTATTTTTATTAAACACAGTGCTTTATAATCCACTCTTTTACGATTTTTAAGTAATTATAAAAATTTATAGTTGTTATTGAATAATGAAAAATATTTATGGCACCATTATAAAATTTAGCGTAGATATGTCAGCCTTGTTCAAAATTTGTAGCTTAAGAATAAACAATAATTTTACTTTCCTTCATTTCGTAAAAAAGGTGATATCATGTCAAAACTTTGCAAATAATGTACCATCTATTAATGCAGTTATAAAAAATTAATTAAATAATAAATACTTCATTGTATACATTTAAAAAATTAGGAGCGCGAGAAAACTGTAAACATAGCAGAAATTTCCGCCTAAGTTAGAACTAATATTTAATATTGCTTCATAATATTTTGCGAATAAGCTATACATGGAAAACCATAAGCATATTTTGAGAATGTATTTTTGTAGCAAAAGACCGATGTTTATAGTGTTACCCATTGCAGAAAAACATGAAACTCTCTAAAATACCTTTCATATTTATCAAATAAAACTTCCATTTATATATCATTCTATATTTAGCAAATGAAAAACTGCTGTTAAGGATTTTTAACGTTAAATTTACATTACTGTCATATAATAAATTATTTTTAAAATTATGTTATATAATCAGTATTGATCAAAATTGAAATGACTAGGGATTTAAAAGCAAATCTCTTACCTCAGTTTTCAAATTTTCCCCCTTTTAAATATGCAGAAATACGCAATAAAATACCGTATTGTCTCAAAACATAATGGTGTCATATATGAAAAAGTTTTTTTTCTTTTAAGAATCTTTCAGAAAGACAAAAGGGGCTTACATATAAGATGTGCCCACGTATATAAGTTTGATATATCAAAGTAAGTTACAAGAAAAGCCATTAAAAGTCTAATCTTATTAGTATTTGAGATAAAATTAAGTAAATATATCTCCCATTGCTTTACGAGTTAAAAAATACTCTTAAACGTATTCTTTAATATTAAGCTGCCTGATCAGGATGATTTCAGAAAGGAATAGAAATTGAAAATTTCGTCTTATATGCATCCACAATGGTATTAAATTTACTGAATTTTATTAAAATATAGATAGCTTATTAAGCTAAAAATTTATCCACTGTAAACAAATACTCTAAAGTCATTTTCTCACACAAACATGAATTAATGAAAAATGAAACGAAATAAAATTTTAATTGATAGGAATTTTTCAAAAATATCGTTATTGTTAATACCAAATCTCCAATAAATTTTAGCTTCGCATACCGTTTCAGTTAATAAATGATATTTAAACGAACAAGGCATCATCATTTGTCGTTCATAATTTCTCTGATGAAATAAAATTTGATTTATACTACCCAAAAGGCTTAAATAAAAACACATTATATGGCGTAAAATATCATTCACATATATTCATGAAAGCTAGTATAATTGTAAATATCAACTCTATGAGCATAAAAGTTCGCATAATATTTTTCAGAAAATATAATGTAATTACGACTCATTTTAAAGCTGTAGTAATAAAAACATGTATAATTATATCAGACATTAAACATCCTCATTAATTAATGTATAAAAAATTTACACCTGCAGTTGAAAATTGTAGGCTATTCCCCTTAAATAGTCTAAAATAGGCCGATCATTATAATCATTTACAATCTTTTGAATTCTGAGAGATGTATCTCTGTAAACTTTTCTACTTACTGGTGGATGGTGACCTGCAATGTATTGTTCAATTTTTATAGAATTTAAATTTTGTTCCTTTTTTAAGCAATCAATAAATTTCCAGATTGTTGGATGGCATCCGTTCATAAGTTCGTTGAATCTGCGATGCCATCCTTCAACCGCATTATTTGTCCTTGGAACTTTATCTTTTACAGCATCATAACAGTTCCAAAGAGGGATGTCAAACACTGGTCTGCGACGTTGTCCACGACGAGTAAATCTACCAATCCATGTGTCTTCAAAATAATTTATGATTGGCTGAATGATGTTCATATTATTTACAAAATAAGTAGATGATATTAATTGTTCAAATGCTTCAATGACATCTGAAGTAGGAACGAAAGCCAAAGCTGCAAGTTGAGAGATTTCCAAAACGAAATTCGGATCAGTTTCATATTTACTTTGCAAACCTGCAGACTGAATCTTTCTATACACACACTGACTTAAATGAAAAAAACATCCTCTCTGAATGATATTCGGAAAGGAATTTTTAAAGGCATTTATGGCAGCCTTTTCAAAATCAGTCATTACAGTTTTGGGCTGCAGATTCGGTTTCAAAGATTTTATCACCGTAAACACTCTATTGTATGTTTCTTCGCGTTTGTTTGGCATTAATACATACACTGAAGGTATCACATTATCATATTTAACACCATGGATTGTATAAATCTGACTGAAAAGCGGTGGTGTTGCTTTAAAAGTTCCATCAGCAAACCAGTTCGGACATTCAGCCATGAAGTCCAGATTTCTGAGGGTCGAAAAAATTAGAATTCTGTCTGTCTGCACTCCACTGTCATACAGCAAAAATTTCTCTTCTTTTAGTGTTTTTGAAAACTGTTCTGGGATTACTAATTCTTCAAGACATCTAGGATTATGCAATGGCATTTCTCCGTGTCGAGCATATCTGATAATTTTTTTTAATATTTTCCACTGGTGGTATATGCCCCGAAACAGCACAAGGAAGACCAATTGTACCAACTGCTGCTAAAGAATGTGTCGATTCTTGCGTTGTTACCGCACGCTCTTTAATTGAACTCATAATCTCTTTCGCTGTAATTTTGCCAGCATTTGGAGGATGCCCGTGAGATTTTTCAAGAATGATATTATCATCTTGAGTGTGAATTCGCCCTTTACACTTACAAGTAAAATACTCTACACATTTCCAAATACTTTTCTCAGCACTAGCACGTTCAAAATTATAGATGTATCCTTTCACCATAAGTTGTTTACGGTTCTTTTGGCTGATGATATAGTGTAACGGCATGTTGGCTTCTCTGACAGAAAATGCAGTTAAGTTTCCGAGTTTCAGGTACAACTAAGACTTGGAGCATCAGACATACATTATTTACCTAATTGTCAAACAATGGTTTTCTCGAGGCAGGAGCCACCTGTTTCCCCTTCAGGCTCAAATGACGTTTTACAGTTTGTTAAGTAAAAATAAGCAGGTGTTCCATTATTGAACACAGTTAGTATATGTTTATTAGTAGTTGAACACCAGGAAAATTTCTGTGAACTGAAAAATGTCAGCTAAGCAATTTACAATTTGATTTATTTTTAGTGTATCTGGAATCATTATTGCTAGTTTAAAACTAATGAGCAGTTTTTGTATATAGTGCTGGAACAGATTAAAAATTTAATAAAAATTAAACTCGAGGTTCCTTTCAGGTAACGAATATTAGCATCTTTACTGAGAAAAGCTAGTAAACAGAGTTTTGAAATCGGAATAAATTATTTAATTATTTTAAAATGGTTCAAACCCAAAGAAAAAGATCTTTAAATCAAATATCAGATAGTAATTGAATCTTAAAATAATTAGACTGAAATTTTATGATAAACAATTAGAAGTAAAATGAAGATAGAAAGAGAGATGAGTCTAGTTAGAATAAAAATATCTGTGTAGAATTAAAATAAAAAGAGTAAAAAATACAGCAATCCAACATCCAAGTTTTAGTTATAGAGATGTCTTATATAAGCATATTATACTCTAAGTAAAGTGGTAAAAAGCCTTCCGTGTCATATTTTTTTGTACAACTGGTCTATTGTAATGATCTGAATGTTGAGTTTTATCAGAAGTACTTTATTAATTACGTATCTCGAGGTCTCTATCGATATTTATCCACGTATTGTCGAGCAGCGAGTACCAGATGCATGTAGATCACAGCCACTATCATACTATAAGACTATAAGAAAACCATTTACTTGAGAAACTTAAGATTGAGTCTACCAGGAAAATCAGAAATGAGCTATGAGCTTTAAATCTAAAAGTCACTCTGCACGTTTTTTGACGCATTTTCATTTTTTATTGAATCTTTTTGTTTTTGTTTCACATTTAATTTTATATGAACAAACGTTTCGCAAAGCATTCGAATTTATAAATTATAATCTTTAATCTTACTGTAATCATGACCCCTATTAGTGGTCGAATGGTTAAAATCGCTGAATGCTAGGAGTTTGAACGCAGTGCCATTTCAGGCAAAGAGGCTGGCTTCGTGGTTGGTATCGAGAAAGCCCTCATCGCAGGCATCCTTTCTCTAAGCTTGATAGCCTTTGTGTGCCTTGCCATATTTAAACAACCTAGCCTATTGTGTAAACATAGAAACATATGATAAGAGATTACACTCTTTATGGAAACGAAATGTACGTGTCGAAAGTGTGCAATTAAATTCTAGACATGTTGTTTACATATATATTTATATGTAAATGTAGTATGTAAATTGTGCAATGCGTTTATTTGCTAACAATTTTTATTTTTTTTAGTGCATTTTTATAAAGAATTTAAATACTTCTTACATAATAACAGGACCGAGACAATGATGAAGAGAAAGAAGTACTCAGCTAGAATAAATAACTCAGACGGGAATTGCACGGGAAAAAATAACATGAAAGACAGTGTTATTTAAACCTGAAAATTAATTAATATGCATTATTCTCTGTCCTGATAAATATTTTATGTAGGTTTTTTAGTAATTAAGTCTTTTAATTAAGTTTTGTTTAATTAGGTTTTCTTATCATATGTGTGGAATTCAATCATTTAAGGTAATGTGGATTACCTCAGATAACAGGAAGTGCGGATAAATGGACAACTGTATTATTTCATAAAAAATTATCATTACGAAAATTTATTGCACACGGTACTGTTATTACGCAGTGTTATTACGCACGGTGTTAAAAAAAATGTCCCTGAAAAATTATCCTGGAAAAAATGTTCCAGTAAACATGTTTCCAGAAAAAAAATTAAATGTTTCTAGAAAATGTATGGCTATTTTCTTATTTTTCCAAATCTTATAGCAAACTATTTAGTGTCATATCATAAATATCACCACAAGTTTATATAACTTTTAAAATTAATGAACATTATTTAGCTTTTACATAAGAAAGTTGCCTTACATTTAATGAAATATGTTATACAAATGTACTAAATGTGAAATATTCTATAAAAGATACTTAAAGTGAATAGAATTAATCATACGATTGTGTTATGTGGATAATCACATATAAATTTAAACTAGGTCTTTGGAACATTGTGCATTATGCTTATCAATGTAGACGTTACGTCGATTATTTTTTTAACAGTTCGTCGTAAAGGCCAAATCATATTCCCAATTAGTAAAGCCGTATATCATACTCCTAGTTAATAATAATCCGTAAAATGATATTCCCAGTCCGTAAAGCTGTAGATGCTGTTTCTAGGCCGTAGATGTGAAATATATGATATTTTATTCTTTAAGGGGCTGTGTACAATTCTAAATTTTATTTTGTATAAATTTTTTTAAAGATTACATTTTAATTTAGAATTACTCGGTCCTGTTATTATGTAGATTTAATCGTACAGGAACAGACGTTGTGAACACGAGACATAAAGAAAGACAGTCGTGTGGGCGTTTGTTGAGCAATCGGAAGCAAAGGGGAATTAATGAAACATTTCGGAAAGCGGAACTGGAAAAAAAAAAAAAACCACAGTACTTTTAAAAGCATTATACCAATTTCATTTACTTGTAAAGCACTTATATTTTTTCATTTCTTCGTATTTATATTATTCTCATTATTTACATAAACTAAAGTTTTATTCCTTAAATACATTAAATCGTAAAAGGAAATTTTATAATTTTTGTGTTTAAAGACCGGACACCAAATTTTTAAAGTTGTTTTGACAGATTAAAACATATTTCGGGAAAATTTGTATATTTCTCTTATTGGTCTGAAGAAGTATTTAATAATAAAGAAATTTAAAAAAAAATAAATAAATGCATAATGCACAGTTCTGAAAAGACACTGCTTAAAGTTTATATAATTAAAAAAATTATTTAATTTTGGAAAATCTTGTTCCTCAGATTTTAAATATTTTCCATTCTCAGCGACAAAGTTTGAATTTATGATGTTTTTATCATACGTATAATCGTAGAGTTTCGCCTCCTTAATCGAACTACGTAGATATGTAATTTTATTGGAAAAAGTTTAAAATTTTGGATTATTCATTATTCGTATCGTTGAACTTAGGCCAAAAAAGAAAGAAAAAATGTTAATTAAATCTATATTTTTAATATAATTCATTGATGAAATTATATATTAATTAAATAAATCTGTATGTATGAATACTTATATGCAAAAGAGGCAAAGGGCCTTTTTTCAAAAACAAACAAGGAAGGGCGATCTAAACACGTTTGAACTCTAAACTTTTCTGGGTTCTCTTTTTAAACTGCATGGTAGATGTAAAACACACAAATACTAAGAAGTTAAGAAATGCTATTTCTGTCTGTACATGGACCATCATCAGTAATGACCGAAATTTTCAGCTGTCTTTTATTAACCAAATAGCCTTCAGCGGCCAGAGGGGACAGGACCCTGGAGTAAGGCTTGAACGAAACACCCGTTCTCACGGATGTTAACTAATGGTTGACTCTCCCCAATAGTATAAATAGCTGTAATTCATCCGCCCTCCCCTGAGTTCAGCCACTTAGCTTGTTTTTCAACTCAATACTCAAAACTAAGACCTTCAAGCGTTAGTTTCCCGAAAAGTTCTTAATTGCTTTCATCTTGCATACAGATTGCTACAATTCCCAGGCAAATCCTAATTCTCACTTCTCTTTCGAAACAAATATATACTACCACTATTAATGAAAGAAAAAATTTCATTTTATGAATAACTGAATATGAAATGTAATCATTTATTAAAAAATGAACTTTTGTAAAAAACTCATAAATCAATATTCTGAAAATTTTAAGTGCGGTGAAATACAGCATTTAAGTCTCTCCCTTAACCCTTTCAGTCCCAATGGGTTAAGTCCCAGTAGATGTTTAAAGAAACCTAGAGAGAATTAAACGCATTAATTTACTACATAGTTGATGTCCCACTGGTAGCAGGCATCATTTTTAACATCCCCATTACAAAATTGTTGCGCGCGCATCTTCTTATAGAGGCTTAGTGACAGACTGTCAATTTCTGTTAGTGTGATTTGTGTCATTTGTGATAATTACCAAGAAGGCATAAAAAAAATCAAGTCAGTTGAAACAAATAAATTGGGATTGAAAGGGTTAAACAATTTAAGATGTTTTATAAATTTTCAGTATTTAGTTATTCAGATTTCAACCAGTAAAATCATCATCTTCTCCAAATGCCATTTGTTAAATGTATTTAAGTCCTCAAAAAAAGTATTTTCCCTTTCATTTAAAGATTTTATATTTTGACAACTTGCACATCCTTGTTTTTGATATTCTGCACTATATCACACGTAAAATTATAAATTTTTGCTCATAAAAACTCACAGAATCATGAGTCTATTTGAATTAATTGTGTTTCTTATATCCAAAACATGTTTAATATGTTGAAGACGTATATTAATAGAGTTTTATAATATATGTTTAGTGGGAAATATGCACTAATATATAACATGCATTAAAATAATTGAGTCACAGGATCAGTAAGAAACCATGGTTATTACCAAAATAAATAAGGACAATGTGCAACATAATAAAGACTACAGAAATGAATGAGGACAATATTTAAAATAAATAAGGACTATATACAGCTCCTCACACTCCCACATCATCACCACTACATAAGAATTAAACATGTTGCAACAATAAAATGAACAAAAAAGAGAGAGTCTGTGCAATCCATTACTCCAAAAAAAGCATATGTTTCGAGTATATACAAGTATTAATACATAGTATGAATCACAACCAAACACACTAAAAGTTGTACTAAACTACAGCACACTAAAAAATACTATACTTCAAAGGTAAAGAATTCTTAGGACAAAGAATCGCCACAAAGTAGACTCTCTCTCAGAAATATTAATTTTAATTTCGCTACAGATTTCTGGAGTGCATAAATTTAGATATTCTGAAAATTAAGAAACACAAAAGAAAAACATTAAAATTGTCTTAGGAAGTTTGTCACTGTAAGTTCAATAAGTAATTACAAAATTTTCGAGTAAAATGTATATGAAAATTTAAATAAAATACTCTTAAGTGCTTATAAGAAATGTCTTAATATAAAAGTTTTCTTCTACCAATGGCGGCCCTCAGCGGACTTCGGTTTGGCCACTACTAAGTGATGGTCACTTTATTACGGAGGCACCTAATTATAGGTGGGCCACATTTGCCTCCTATGAAGGACAGTTACAATCCTGCCTTCTCCGAGGTTCGAACCCGGGACCTTTGGTATCGCAGCCCGGCGACTCAAACCACTATACCGTCTAGGCGGTCTAAATATA